TTTGGGGTTTGGGGTGGGGGTTTTTTTTTTTTTTTTTTTTTTTTTTGGTGTTAAGTTTTCCCAAAGCTGATGAATGCCTGAACACATCAGCCCTATAATCTCTGGTGCTTCAGTGTTTAAGACAGCAGGTAGGAAATTTCCCACTTGAAGCTGGTGACTGAAGGACCAGTTTCTTCCAGAAGGAGTGTTAGTCTACCGTAAGCAGTTTGAAAAGAAAGGGTTTGCAGAAATTTGCCTTTATATGTCACTTTTAAAGTCGAGTGTATTCCTTCAATGCCTCCAAGAGCACAGTTAGAAGTAGAATCCAGGCAGCGGGGCTGCCTTCCAAGTACTGTGGTCTCCGAATGACCTTTTCCCAGTGTGCTGCAAAAGGGCTTGGCTTTACTTTTTTCCTTTTTTTGCACCCCGAGAGCAGCACACTCGAGTTAAGATGACAAAAAAAGAACAGGGCTCTCTTTGGCCAGCGTGCCTTCAAACTTCAGCGATGCATGTTGAACAAATGGAGATGAGAGCTCCGTCCATTGCGAAGGGATGACTTACCATGTAGATGTGGAAGACCTGTGCAGTATTTTTTTTTTTTTTGGATCCAAAAGTTTGGTGCGATTCTAATGTTGACCACTTAAAAGAAGTGAATGTCTGTTTTCTTTTTCTTTCTTTTTTTTTTGTTTGTTTGTTTTATGGTGGCAACTGGCTACTGTATAATGTCTGTGAGCGTGTGTGTGTGACTGCAATCCATGCATGCGAGTCCTACTGGTAATATGAAAACCTGCTGTAAGACTGCAAGAAAATTTACTGTAGCTTTGCTTTAATAAACGGTAGAGAGTTTGTTAGTAACAACCTGAAGGGAAAAAAAAAAAACAAAAACAAAGAGCTGAAACTAACATTCCCTAGAGTGCTCATATGGAAGAGAGCACAGTTCAGACTATGTATCTTGTTCTCTTGTTCTCGGGTTTTCTCCCCGTCCCTTTTATAATTATGGTCGTCCAGATCATTACTGTTATGGGGGGTAAAAAAAATGAAAACTGAACTCAGACATATGGGGAAAAAAAAATGAAAACTGAACTCAGACATATTCAGATTTGATTGATTGAAAACCAAAATCAGTTTTAAATAAGGTGGAAACCAAAATATAATGCCTTTTCTGATAACTTGCCCATGTGTATGTGTATCATTTTGTGAGTTAAGAACAAGATTTGTCTTTAGTTTGTGGCTTTTTTTTTTTTTTTTTTTTTTTAACTGGAGGTATGCAGCACTGTGCTGGATACAGATGACAGAGCAAGACAAGTGCTTATTTTAGTATTTTACCCACACGTTTGAGGAGAGCGCATTTACCTTACAAGGTTTAGGAGAAGAATCTCACTCCTTTGCCCGTTGCAGCCTTTCCCTTCCATCAGAACGGCTGATGAAGATGGCTCTTCAGTTTGTTTCTTAGGGTAGTCTTAAGAGTGTAGGACTTTGATTTGGATTCAGGAGACCTTGTTCCTGGATGCCTGGAGCGTGAGCTGTAACAGAGAGGCTGTGTGCCCCAGAGCCGGGCTGGCTCGCTGTGCACCGCGGCCGCCTGGGGACTGGTCGCTTCCAGCTGTGTTCACCGACCACATGTATCTTCCAAGAAAAGAATTAAAGATCCCCGGTGCCACCTCTAGGAATTCTGTACGTATTGGCACCTGGCTTTGTTCCTCGCACCACAGAGGAAGCTAAAAAAACACATCAGTCCTTACGGAGTGGGGTTTTACTGCTGTAAATCCTGGGGACGGCCCCGTGCCAGAGGGAGACTCTCTGCCAACATTTCTGTTGGCATAAGGCAAAAATCTCCATGTTTGCTTTCCTGCCATCCCACTAAAGGCGGGGGAACCCCCCCACTTCTTCTCTGGACATAGAGGTGAGTACCAGTAAGCCGAGCTGATGTTTCTAATCTTAAAAAGTCAGGAAGAAGCAGTGGTGTGTCTGTTTTATGACTCCTGGAGGTTTTTCAGGCTTTTAAAGACCATAAAGAAACAAACAGGGCACAAACCGTGTCTCTTAAGCTCACATGTGCCTGAGGAGGAACAGGACTGTCAGTGTGGCTCTCGGTGCTTCAGGCTTTTAGACCTGGACCGGGGGCAGCTGATGTGGGGAAGAGGAGTGGTGCAGGGCAGGACACTGAGCAGGTGAGCTCCTCGGAGACATCCCAGCTGGTGCCTCTTCAGGGGAAAAAACCACGGGCAGGCAGAGGACTCCCAAAGCTCCAGCTTTGGAGCTTTAGAAAGGTGCTTGATCTTCATGTGTACCTCTTTGTAGAAAGCCAACACAGCCCAAACAGGGCTTTTCTCCAGATGCATGCTGTGGGTGTAAAATGCTGGAGGTGTGAGGACATGGGCAGGTGCGCGTCTGTAACACTGGAACACCAAAACCCACTCATTTCCAGCTATAAGGGGCGAGTGTTTTATGGGAGTTGTGTATACATCGTTTCAAAACTGAGTTGCAAACAGTGCAGCACGATTGAGAGCAAATTAGTGTCAATCCACTGCTCGATGTTTCTCTTTACAATGTGCTTGAAGTGTTGATGCTAATAATACTTGAAGTCTGTTTTTGCTAGAGCCCGTGGCAGTGCAGTGCTGCTTACACGGCATGTTTTCAGCTGCTGAAATTGGCTCCGAGGGCAAGGACCCGGTGGGTGTCCTAGTGGGCTTGGGGTGTGTCGCCTGGGGACAGGTGCTGCAGAGCACCGGGTGGTGGCTCAGCGAGAGGGTCCCCTGGGCACAACGAGGGTTCCTGGGACCAGTGGGTACTGCTGCATCGCCTCGGTGTTCCCAAGGGACTCTTCGGCTCCGATGATGCAAACTCCCCCCCCCCGGGAACACCCATGCAATTTTCTTGCAGCATATTGTTGCATGTTTGTACAACCCAGTGGATGGGTGTTGGCTGAAGATGGAGGAGGAGGGAATCGTGTGTCTAACTCAAGGCTAAGGAAAGCGGAGGTGCAGTTAAGCTTCCGTGTTACATGTAGTCATCAAAAACTTCCTCGGGCAGGAAACCTGAGCAAGTCTCCGGGACAGAAGCAAAACCAGCAGGCTCCACTGAAAGCATGAGGCTGTGCCGCCCGGCACCGGGAGCTTTGGGCTCCCCAGGCGCCCCACGCCGTGCTGGGACGTGCGTCAGTGGTGAGAGCCTGGGCCATGCTTGCTTCCTGCCCCGCGCAGCCCAGGCTCCCACAGCCAAATATCCTCTTCTCCTCCGCACGCCCCGGCCGGGCTCGTCCCGTGGTGAACCGCTCCCGGCGGAGCTTGGCAGGGAGCCGGGGCACAGTCCTGCTCTGGTGAATAAACTCCCCTTGCCTCTCCCCGAAGCCTGCTGCCTCCCAGCCCTTGCTTACCCTCCCTGTGCAACACATCCCGGGGAGGTTTTTCCCCCCCTTATTTTTTTTTTTTCTTCTTTTGTTTATATAGGAAAAGCCTGGACCGGGCCTGGAAGGGGGGCAGTCCGGCAGCCCCCTGGCTGGAGGCAAGCCCTGCAGCATCCCACAGCAAGGCAGCCTGGGAAGGCCGGGATGAGTCGCCTTTCTTCGTCAGAGCTGTTTCCCCCCCTTCCCTTGCAGCACAGATCTGTTTTTATCAGATGGGACTGGTGCCTACACTGGGGCCGTCGCGGCGGCGGTGGAAGTGCTGCAGTCTGTGC